TTTCCTCCTCCTCCTCCTCATCATTATCAGCATCATCAGCATCAGCATCATCGTCATCATCATCAGCATCAGCATCATCATCATCAGCATCAGCATCATCATCATCAGCATCGGCAGAATCATCGTCATCATCATCAGCAGCATCATCATCAACATCAGCATCATCTTCATCATCATCATCATCATCGTCATCATCATCATCGTCATCATCATCATCACCATCATCATCATCATCATCGTCATCATAATCATCAGCATATTCATCATCATCATCATCATCATCAGCAGCAGCAGCAGCAACAGCAGCAGCAGCAGCATCGTCATCGTCGTCATCGTCATCATCGTCATCATTGTCATCATCCTACACCCCTTCCCCTCCACTTCCTCGCCTCCTCCTCCTCCTCCTCCTCCTCTTCCCCCTCCTCTCCCCCCTCCTCCTCCTGAACTTCCTCCCTCCTCCTCCATCTCCTCCTCCTCCTCCTCCTCCTCCTCCAACTTCCCCTCCCCCTCCTCCTCCTCCTCCTTCTCCTCCTCCTCCTCCTGCTCTTCCTCCTCCTCCTCCTCATCCTCCTCCTCCTCCTCCTCCTCCTGTCCGTCCTCCTCCTCCTCCTCCTCCTCCTCCTCCTCCCCCTCCTCTTCCACCCCCTCCTCCTCCTCCTCCTCCTCCTGCTCCTCCTCCTCCTCCTCCTCTTGCCTCTTGCCTGCCTTGGGGGATGAGTCCATTGAGGTACCCCTCTAGAGAGAGAAAGAACAATCCTGGGCCACCTCCATCAACTTTTGTCACCTCCGGAACCAGGGGCGATATCTGGAACCTGAGGCCGCGACAGGAGGTGGACCCAGGCTTCTGATCATTCAGGCCAAGCCTTAAGATCAGGAGGAAGTTTCCCAGCCATCAGAGCCCTCCGCACCCTCCTCCCATGGTCTGTGAGGCCAGGAACACACGTTCGCCCCAATTTCAGCAATTTGCCTCTTGAGGGAACCCCTGATCCTCCACAGAGCTGGCACCAATACACGCCCCTGTAAGCTTCCAGCTTATGGGAAGGGTGGATGGTGGTGGGCTGGCCTGGGCAGGTCGACCGAAGGAAAGCCTCTCGCTCGACCCCATCGGACTGAAAACACACAGTGCAGCGCCAAGAAACTCGCGCCCTCTGCTCCACGACGTGAGGCGACTGAGAAACGAGGAGGACCAGCTGCGATTCCTTCTCCTGGCGCAAAACCGCAAGGGAACTCTTAGCCTCCTCCTGGCGGTTGCCCTTACACGCTGCTCCGTAAAGAGTGGGGGCCTGCTGAACTAGGGCCATAGACACCGCCAAGATGGAGTCAAGAACTGTGTGACACAAGTTATCATATTCGGCGACCTGTCGCCTTGCATGAAACGGGATCTGGGCCATCTCAGCTCCTTTCTCTGCAGCCTTATCCGCCAGACGATTTGCCTGCCAGTGGACTGGGTCGAAGCCAAGGGTGACTGCATCCTCGTGAGAGAGGTGGGATCGGATCTTGTGCACTGTGATCGGCCGATCACCTACTGCGCGCCAAAGGTCCTTCCACATCGAAATCATCTTTTTGCGCCTCAAGCGGGGCCCTGCACGAATTCCCCGCACGACACCATCATTATCTATCACGCACTCTATGGGGCCTGTGGTGAGCTGGGCCGCACGAGTGATCGCATAAAGTTCAGCTGCTGGCACTGTCTGGTTATCACGCGGCAGAGGGCCAAGCCCCCACGCCACGTGCTGGGCGCCTCCAAGATGGCAGAGCCCCAGCCGCATCTCTTCAGCCGAGGACCCGAACCCTCCTCGCCCCCCGCCCCGTCCGACCCGATCACACACCCCCAGATCAAGCTCATAAGGATTAGCCTCGAGCTGGTCCGAGAGCTTTTCTTCCCCCTGAATCGGGACACACACATGCCGGTACGTCCAGGCCAGGGGGGGGCAGACCTCGGAGCCAGAAGGACGGGGCGTCTCCCGACTCAGCTTCCGCCTGCCTCCTCAGGGAGGCGTTGAAACCTGGGATGGGGTCATTCAGAGGACAACTCCAGAGCTGGTGGAGAAGAGTCTCTTGAGGCGCTCCACACCGAGGGCAGGAAGGAGAGGGCCAGACTGGGTTGGGCCCAAGGATGGGCTCGTCATCGCGTAAGCCACAGTGCAAGTCCTCTTGAAATTGCAATTCGTCTGCTACGTGCGACACCTCGTCTAGCATCGCATCGAAATCACATTCCTCCTCGTCTATGCCAAGCGAGGTTCGCGGAGGGTCGGAGGGGAGGGGAGCTCCAACCTCGGGGCCTGGGGCCGGCTCAGTCGAGAGCTCGGGGGCCTGGGGCCTCGGGAAGGGTCTCCTAGCCTCATCCCCAAAACGCCGCGAGGCGGGCCACAGGGCCCCCGACAAAATCATTTCTAAAACTCCAGCATGGTCGTAGGCTCCCGAGGCTCTAAGTTTGTTCAACCCCCGAAGCGGCGCAAACATGTCAGCTCGACCTGCCAAACTGCTGCCATGATAATGTTCGCTGGCTTTTCCAGGCTAGAACATCAAACGCCTCCAGCAAGTCAACCGTGAGACGTTCTGGGCCACAGGCGAGCACATGGAAAACCTCACCATCCGTTCCAATCCAGGTGGTGGGATCCTGCGGCGTCCAGCCTGCTTCCAGCAGGCAGGCAACAGTGGCGGCCACAAAGCCTGAGACTCGCTTCCAGCGGGTGGCAGGGTCCTGCAGTCGGGCTACCCCTTGTCCCCACGATTTGCGGAGACCATGCTGGTTAGCCTCCTGCAGGCTCGGGAGCATGTGAACCCACTCCTTCAAAACTCGCATTCTGGTCGAGATCATGGGGTCATGGTGGGGGTCCTGGAAAGCACAACGCAGAACCGTGGTAGCACACCCCCCTTCTATCCTCCCCACCATGCCCGCCATGGCCGCTCTGGCCTTTAAGGCCAGGGTCGGACTCACTCCTTGGGCCTCAAGGCCCCAAAGAGCCTGGGCTGACCACCCAGTCCGTGCTAACGTCCTACAGCGGCGGCCAGTCTTCACGACTCGTTTAATCATGTTCGCTCGATGGCTGGCTGACTGGAACCGCTGCTTGGGCACTGCTACTGAGCGTCTCGCCCCTACAGTGCCAATGCCAAGGTCCTTACCCGTGGTGCCCCCCTTCAGCGAGAAACCGCGCCGAGCCAAATCTGCGAGGACCTCCTTGGCCAGGGCAGGGGGGTTGGAAAGAACCTGGCTTTTGGCCGAAATCTTGAAACCTGATTTGGTTAGGGCAGTGCCTAGGCCACCACTAGCCTCAACAGCCTGTTTCACAATGACCTCAGCCTTGCCGATGTGTCGCTGACCCAGGTCATCTACCCAAATCTCCAGGGCCAGGGGTCGAAAACGGGCATGGGCGTCCTCCAGGATATCCCAGAGAGCGACCTCCGAGATGTCAACGCTCTGGGAGCAGCCTGCCAGGAGGCCCCTGGATGGGCGCAACGCCTGGGAGATGGCACCTGATGCGCGAAGGCGTCGCGGGGCCCTGTGCATATCTAAAGCCAGAAACAAGGGCATGAGAGGGTAGTCCACGCCCGCTGCTATGTCTACTACTGAACGCAAATCTACATGGTCATAGAATTTCTTAAGGTCCCAAAGGATCTGGATCCAGCTGAAACCCATCGCCGTTGCGATCTCACACTGGGTCTGCCGAAGTATGGCAGCCCGCAGAGCCGAATAATCCCTCACCGCCCGATCCCAATTCTGAGCCCGCTCCACCGTCCAGTCCGATATGTCTTGCCGACGCGCTCTGCCCCAGACTCGGTGAAGGCCCTGGGCTAGCGCTAACGGACGGTCTGCAACTACACTTTTTAAGATAAGCTGGATGATGATGGGCCTGACCTGGGGAGGCCAGGCGAGCTCGGCTTCTACTAACCTGAGGAGATCTACAAGCTCTTGGAGGGCCTCGGATGGGAGCTGCAACCAACCACGCGGGTTCTGGAAGTCAGCTCCCTGCCCAACAACAGGTTTGAAACATTTGAGAGCATGCGCAACTTGGTGACTAGAGAGGAGTTCCCGCGGCTGGGCATCACGAGAAGCCCTGGCCTGAAAGTCTCCCCACCAAGAGGGCTCAATTTCCCTCGGACCAAAGAGCCAAAGCCCTCCCCAGAGTTCCGCTTTTGACGCAAGGGACTCGGTGGGTCGTGCAAAACTCTGCCATTCGGGCCACGCTCAAGGCTGAGGCTCGGCGCCTCCGCGCCCCAAGTCTTGGTGTGAAAGTAAGTAGCCCCGCTCCCCTTAGTGAGAGGGTGGCGCAGCCAGTCCTTAAATCCCCTGGATGATTGCCGAGTGAAGTAGGCTTCAACTCGCCTCAGAGTCCGAGTGGGTCTCCCTGGAGGCCTGATCCCCATGCAGGCCCAGGGCAGAGAGCACCTCTTCCTCCTTCCTCTCTTCAAGAAGCCTTGACAGCTTCAGAACTCTGGCCAAAGCAATTTTGAATTCAGCTACTGATTTGCCTAGGGGCTTCGGCATCCTGACAAGTCCAACCCAGGCGCTGAGGCGCGTGTGCAAGGCCGACCAGACTGAGCGGTTGGACGCTTCCGCAAGCCATCCCTGTGGCTTTGTCTCAACAAGGGGAACCTGCTGCACATCGATGTGAAACCCTTCTGTGCATGTCAGCTTCCCAGAAACTACTGGAAGGGTCCCGACTGGCCTGGAAAGATTCAGCTGCCAGGCAAAACTGCATATACGACTGGCCTAGGTCGCGCACCTGGACTGGAAACTGTTGCCACTGGTCGATCCCCACGCCGCGCTGAACGAGGGGCCCCACTCTCTGCAAATGGGTCTCCCGAGGAAGGTCTGGGCCTTGGGCTCTAACCAGAGGCGGGGGCTGAGTGAGGACCCAGTGGAGCTGCTGAAACTTACATCAATCTAGAGTCCCAAGAAGCCCCGTGTGAGGAAGGGCCCAAGGGGAAACAAACTGTGCCATGAGAGTGTGAGAACTGTGCTGAGAGCCTCTGAAACCAGACAGTAATCGATCGTCCTGGCTCCGCCAGGGGCCTCCTCAGGAGCAGCTCGGAAGACGCCGTGGAGGTAGGTCTGAATGCCACTCTCCGCCACCTCGTCTATCTCCATGTTCCAGTCGCCAGCGATGACGTGCGGCTTGCCCTGAGAGCGAACGTACCCTGCCACCTCTGCGAGGATGGTGGTGTTCTCCCCTTGCAGGCCCAGTCCCGTGACCAGGTACAGCGAGACGAAGGCGGCATTGATGTCCCGCATGCGCACCGCCTGGCTGGTCCACTGCGTCTCCATGCTCGTGGCCCGCTCCTCCTGCACTGCTCTCTTCACCTCAGGGTAAAGCGGCGCATTCCGCAGCCACTTCCTGGTCATGGCCCAGACCCCGCCATGATATCCACCACGCGCTGTGCCAACTGCCGACTGGGAAGTCACAGCCCAGCCTGACCGACTGAGCCTCTTGATCGCCTGCACCTCGGTGTCCGAGACAGCAAAATCACCATCTGACTGGTTCAGGTAGCACCACGCCTTCTGGCCACAAGACGTGGCGTTGGCGAAATAGAAACGGTACTGGTCCTTGCCCGTGGTCTGCTTCTGCTCAGCCCTGGCCACCAGTCCAGCTCTATCCCTTCCAGGCTGAGACGCGTTCTCGCCAGTCAGGGCCCCCCGCTGGTCGGTGCCCCCAGCCGCAGGCTGAGGATGCGTGCCAGCGGGGCCAGCTGCATGGCGACGAATGGGCACACCTCCAGCAGCAGCCGCCGAACTCGAACCACCCCTGGCCGATGATCCAGACGATCCCCGCCCTGCTCCCAAGACTCCGCTGGTGCAGCCAGGGCGCGGCAGAGGCGCAGCCCTCGGCTCCTCCAGGTGCGCAGCTGGAGGAACGCCGCACAGGGGTCTCTTGAGAGTGAGTGTCGGGGCGCCAGCCGGACTCGAAGTAGACGATCTCCGCTCTGCTCCCAAGACTCCGCTGGTGCAGCCAGGGCGCGACAGAGTCGCAGCCCTCGGCTCCTCCAGGGGCGCAGCTGGAGGAGCACCGCACAGGGGTCTCTTGAGAGTGAGTGTCGGAGCGCCAGTCGCCAGCGCAGCTTCCACATCGACCTCAGTCACGTCGGAGGTCCGCTGACCCTCATCACGAGGCGGGCCAAGCAGGTCCCTCATCTCATTTTTGATCCTGCGCAGCTCCTCCCAGTGGCGGCGGAGGGCCCAGCGCGGCATCTCCCTGTCATGCTCCGCAGCCCAGTCAAAGAAGCCGAGGATGTTTACACGATTATCAGCTCCATCATGCCAGGACTCCGTGCAGATGTCTTCCGCCATCTGGTCAACGGTCCTGCCCTGGCGAGCCTCCTGCACCCAGTCAAAGTCCCAGGCCTGCAGACGCAGCTCCCTGACGTAGGGCTTGCACCACCTCATCCAGCTGTCCGCCCCTGACTCAGGCGACTGCAGACGAGGAATCCATCTGGCAGCCGACGCCGTGATATCGTCGTAGAAGGCCGCCTCAGGCCCGCCCTCGTCGATGGGCTCTGGCGGCGGCAGCCCCATGGAGCCAGGAGCGGGCCGATCTGCACCGTCCCGCACTGCTGGGCCAGCTCGATCACCAGCAGCGCGCCTTCGTGAGGAGCTGGCCCCCTCAGGCTGCTGCAGTCGCCTGAGGGGGCGGCGGGCGGCAAATCCTGGCGGTCCGCTGCTTGAGCCCATCACCTTCCACAGCTCCTGCCACTGGCGTCCCAGGCGCTGGCTCTGAAGCGGCCGCGGCAGCAGCAGCGCCATCTCCTTCAGGCTGCCCAGCGGCGGCACCAGGCTTGGGTTCGTCACCAGGAGCAGCTCCACCTCCCTCCTGTCGCCTGCGCTTGCCTGCAAGGCGCAGTGCCATCTGCTCCTGCTCGGTCTTGAAGGCCTTGGCCTTCTCAGCCGCCTGCCCGAACATGGCTCGGACCGCCGCCGACAACTCAGACTGCAGTCTAGCTGTGCGGTCAGCCAGCTCGCGTTTGTCAGCCACCTCCATATCATATCCTGCATCATCGAAGCCCAGGCCCGCGAAGGACAGAGGGATCGACTCAATCGTGCCGTCCAAGATGCCTGCCACGCTGAGCGCCTGTGGCTGGGCGTCCTGCTGCGGCGGTACGAACTTCGCATTGAGCTCCACCACCAGCCTGCGGTGCGCCGCCTCGCGCTCCTCAAGCTCGTCCGGGAGTTGCTGCACCCACTGGCGCTGCTGATCGAGCCCCTCAGAGAGGCGCTCGAAGTAGGCCACAGCCTTCTCCAACTTCTGATTAGCTTCCGCCACCTGCTCGTGGGCCAAGGTGACCCGCTGGGACAGTGGAGCGACGTACTCCTTCTCAGCCGCTTTGCGCTTCTTCTCAAGGAGGGCCCTCCTGTGCTTCGCCGCCGCGGCTGTGTCACCAGCTCGCTCCAACATCGCCACCAGCTGCTTAAGGCCGCTGATCTCCATGTCAGAGTTCGCTTCCTTAGGCTGGGCCACCAGGAACTGGGCCCCTGGCGCCAGAGGCAAGGCTGGGCCTCCTCCACACGCGTCGTCCTGACCCTTGCCCTTGCCCTTACGCCCCTTGCCCTTCTTGCCGCCTTTGCCAACATCATCTGGCTGCTGTGGTTGGCCAGCATCGCCCCAGACTCCTCTAGGTTCTGGTGCTGCTGCAGGAGACAAGTCGGATAGCTTGTGGCCGCATGCTTTGCAATACACACTCCCTCGAACGTTTTTCTTGCACCCGCACTTGGCACAGGCAGGTGCCCTTCCAACTTCTTTCCAACCTTCGTAGTCGCCAGGACCCATGTCTCCCCACTCGCGCCATTGCCCCCCCCAGGCTGGGGGAAAGGTCTTGTGCCACGGCGGGCGCCCTGCAGGAACGGCCGCAGAAGGAGCCATGGGAGGACCAGGATGCAGAACCTGGACAGACTCGGAAGGTTCGTCGTCCTCCTCAAGGGAGGTGCTCCAGCAGGAGCTCACAAAGGGTATCTGAACCAGTTGCCTGGTGCAGGATCACAGGCGGGGGCGCGCCTCCCCCACGCCAGAAGGGCCAAGTGCATGAGCCGAATGGCTACGGACTTGAGCCAAAATGGCTACGGCCTCCTCCTCCTCCTCCTCCTCCTCCTGCTCCTCCTCCTCCTCCTCCTCCTCCTCCTCCTCCTCCTCCTCCTCTTCTACTCTCCTTATCCACCACCTCCTCATCCTCCGTCTCCCCCTCGTCTTCTTCTCCGTCCTCATCCATCCTAGTCCTCATCCTCCTCCTCCTCCTCTCCTCCTCCTCCTCCTCCTCCTCCTCCTCCTCCTCCTCCTCCTCCTCCCCTCCCTCTTCTCGTTCTCCTTCTCCTCTTGCTCCTCTTGCTCCTCCTCCTTCTCCTCCTCCTCCTCCTCCCTCCTTCTCACCCTCCCCTTCGTTCTCCTCTTCCTCCTGGTTTTCCTCCTCCATCCCTTCTCCTTATAAATACCTCCGCCGCCTCGAATGGCGAAGCCATGTTCCCGTTCTGGGTGGACCTTTCCATAAGGTCCACTTCTTGGACTTGGCCTGCTCTGCCCGTGTCCAAAGAGAAACCTGTGAACTTCGACACGTTCGATCCCTCACGCGAGTTCTTCAAGCGGGGAGCGCACATGCCCTTGATGATCTACGTGGGCGCGCCTGGTGACGTGCGGCGGACGAGAGATGCGTAGAGACGGCGGAATGAAAACGCAGACAGGCGCGGCTGGACTTGGGGAAGGAGGCATGGGCAGCAGATTCCTGGTGGTAGCGGCGAACCACGCGACGATCGCGGCAAGGGTGGAACATGGGGCGGCTGGGATGGACAATGGGGCGCTGGCTGGAAAGGCAAGTGGTGAATGCTCATCCCTCCGTGGCCCGCGGTGGCGGGGAGTAGGAGCTATAGCGGCGGCGCGAACTGTTTCCTCCTGAGACTCTAACATCGCATACGCGCTGTGCGAGCTAAACAAGAGGGAGAGGGGGCTAACGACATCCTTCGGCAGAGAAGGGTTGCCACCCAAGGGTGGCAACGACAACCATGGGCACACCCATGGTTGTCGCCTGCTTCCGTTTATTCGTTGCTTCCGTTTATTTGGAACTTCGGATTAATCGTTCGGGATATCTACCTCGGGCAGAGCTGCGTGCAGGCGGCGGGTCAAGGATTCGGTGGAAGTGTCGGGGTAGAGAAAGGCGTGGACGGCCGAGGAGAAAGCTAGCTGAACCCTGGCCCGCCGCTGGCCACGAGCTGCCGATGACCGTTCGTTTTCAGCTGCTTGCTTAGCTGCTTGCCACTTCCGCAGTGGCACGCGATCTGGTGGCATGCCAGTGCCGAGGCGATGCCACGACAATGGACACTCTACCAATCCGATGATTGAACTAAGAGTGTGTTGAAATTGTAGGAGAAATGTCCTGTTCAAACCGTGTTTTTTGTTACATGTTTAAAACAATATCAAACAATGTTTAAGACATCTGGAAATTGTCTGGCAACATGCTTCCTCTCCGTTGATCGTCCTCCACAATGCGGGAGCGGCACAGAGGGGGGTGTCCAAGAGGGGGGGGTGCAAATCATGACCGGCGGCATGTGCGCGGCACAGCGGGGGCCCAGGGACGTAATGAAATAAGAAGAGGCGCCATAAAATCTGGGGAGATATCATGGCCCCCGCCATGATATCCACCCCCCCTAGTCATCACTCCCCTTTTTGCCGCCCCCGAACAATGCCAGTGCCGAGGCGATGCCAAGATTCTTCGATGCCGGAGCTCCTCCGAAACACTGGGGGGACCGTGGCCCGCAGGCGGTCCGCCAGGGAACGTTCCGGACTCGGCTGGCCTTGCGGTGCGCGAGAGCCGGGAGAGGGGCAGCAACGCGAGGGCATTGGATCGGGTCGGGCGAAAGGGGGGATAGAAAAGGGGGGGGTTTGAGCATCAGCTCACGTAGCTGATTTGCCTGGCGCCTCCCGGCGCCAGAGGCGGCTATGTATCGAGGAATGGGCCCCTCGGTGAGGCCGAAATCAGCTGCATGCAGCAAATTTCGTAACCCACCCTTTCCCAATCCCCCCTTTCGCCCGGCCCGATTGAAGGACAGGTGGAACCATTGGACAAGAATCCCAGGGCCTGGAAGCCCGTGGAACTTCCATCGTGGATGACCATGGCTATCACCGCCGCCCCTCTCAGATCAGGGATTCTCCCCAGGGTCTGCACCCTCCTCGGCACGTTCCTCAACGAACGCCCCCACCGTTGCGGAGACAAGGGCAACAGCAGACGCAGTGGGAGATCGACGCCTTGGTGGCTTCAGGGCATCCGAAGGCACAGCCTGGGGCACGCTGCATCTTCGAACCTGCGATTCAACACCCAAGCCACGTACTCGACAAAAATTTGCAATTCGCGACGGGAAAGGGCCTCCTGAATGCCCTCGCCACTCCACCCCCAGCTCTGCCCCCCATGTTCTCTCATTCTCTCCTCCAGCAGCGAGACCAAATAATGAGGAAAACTCAGGCTCCTGAAGCTCGGCCGCACAGAGCCGCTCGCTGAAACTTGGGCCAAGGATCGCAGGATCCAGCACGAAACATCGTCACCGCCCTCGCCCCACCCGGCTTCAATCTAAGATCCTCGGGAAACCCCGAAGCGGATGACTCCAGAAAACAAATCATCGGTGAGGCCTTCGAGGAAAGTCCCAGAAAGCATTCGGGCAGCGGCGTCGAAGCTCATCTCGAATTTTCCTAAGGGTCTCAGGCCACGATGGGAGGGTTACGAGGGCGGTGCGCATGGCGGCGGCAGTGGAGGAGGAAGAGGAGGAGGAGGGAGAATGAGGGAGGGGGGGGGGAGGAGAAGGGGAGAATGAGGGAGGAAGAGGAGGAGGAGGGAGAATGGGGTAGGAGGAGGAGGAGGGACTGGGGGTGGAGAAGAAACGATCCCCAAACGACCCCGTGTGGCTGCACTGGAGTCAAAGTCGTTGTCTTCGGCGTCGTCGTTGTCGTTGTCGTCGTCGTCGTCGTTGACGTGGTCGTCGTCGCAACACTGCTCGCGCGCTCTTTGGCCCGCGGCCGCTTCCCCCCGGCCGGCCGCGACTCCGCGGCTCCCGCGCGCGCGGCGGCCGAAGCTGGCCGGCGAAATCGGGGATGTGACGCTCGCGGGTGACGAGGCGGTGGCGACGGCGGCGGCGACGACGATGTCGGCAGTGCCTGGCCATAGAAGGGCCGGGCGCTGAAGGCATACCACGAAATTATATGGGAACAGAACCACGTTTTAATACCAGCAACAGTACTTACACTTAGAACATAGAACCGATGTGTTACAACCGCGCTCTTAGGACAATGTTCTTAGAACGTCCGCGCGCGGGCATACTTTCTCGACGCCCGCGCTGGTGGCAGGGGCGAGGGCGTGGAACACAATGGAACCCAGATCAGACCGAAACCCGTTCTGGTCATCCTATAGGCCAGCCCCGAAATGCACTTAGAACCAAAGAACGCTCTTAGTACAGCAGCGATGTTCTTAGAACGTGCAGCCGATATCTAAGAGCAATGCTAAGATGGCACCACCATGATTAGAGCATGTACGAGCGGCCGTACATTATAAATACGCCAGCGGTTTTCGCAAGGGCGAGGGCGGGGAACACGATGATCTGGGACCCCTCCAGGGCCCCAGATCCAGCCAGCATCGGCGTTCTCCCTCGAGGCGTAGGCCGCAACACTCCAAGCTCACTCGGGTCGATGCAAATTTCGGCCGGCGCCCATGTGCTCCCAGAGGTCAGATTCCTCACATTATTGATGATTTGATGATCATGATTGTGCTCATCAATAATATAAATGAAGGTTATAATCAGTTGTAGTTGCCATCCGTTTATAGCACTACATGTTTGCAGCCCCACGTCTGAATCACATATTGATAAATACAACGTATGAAGATAATCTGGCGAACCGCAATGACAACCGCAATGAATCCACCAAGGATCAAGCTGGTACCCACACTGAATGGCTCTTTCAGGACTCCACATGGCGTTGCAGGCTCACGCTCTGATCAACCCTCTTTCTCCCGGAACGTTTTCTTTGCATTTGAGCGCTTCCCTAACCACATCCAAACACAACCGCCCCCCCTGACACCACTTGTCGCCCAGATCCCGCTCCAAGGAACGCAGCAGGGCCTCGCGACGGTGGGTGGCCAACAGCCCAGGAAAACGTGACGCGCAGGGGAATTTCGTAACCTCGATCGTCTCTGATAGTACACGTCGTTCATGTCTGATCGCGCGCACTTCTAATCGTGCTCGTTTCTATGTGTTCCTGGCCCCCCAGTGGCCAGGAAGAGGCCCAGGATAGAGGAATTAGAAATGAAAGGATCTTGGCCCCCCCAAAAAACAAAGAACACTCGAAAAACTAGCAGTGACAAATGTGCACAACAGCACGGCACATGCCGGCCCAACCGGACAAACATAAGACGCAACGCGGACAACGGGCCAGCGGCAGAGGCCCAAATTAGACCGCGGCGAGTCCCACACCGCGGACCGGGCCTGACGAAGGGTCCAACCATCTCCCGAGCCGCGCCGCCTTCTCGGGGTCCTTGGCCAGCCTTCTGCTGACGCGAGCCGCTCAGCATCCTGTTCGTCGCTTCCACGTCGCGGGCGCCTTTTGGGGGCATGCTTGCGAGGGCTGGCTGCCTCGAGCTTGGCCCCCCGCCGGCCCCCGCCTGGTCCTCCGTGAGCGCTGGCCGCAAGCTCCGGTTGCCTGGCCAGCCATCTCCCGAGCCGCGCGCTTCCATCGGGAGCGGCCAAGGAGGGGAGCGTCCGAGAGGGGGGGGTGCAAATCATGACCGGCGGCACGTGCGCGGCCCAGCGGGGGGGCCAGGGACGTAATGAAATAAGAGGAGGCGCCATGAAATCTGAGGAAATATCATGTCCCCCGCCATGACATCCACCCCCCCTAGTCATCACCCCCGTCTTTGCCGCCCCCGATTCCATCCATATGTTGGACACGTGAATCTGGCCGTGGGGCGAGGGGATAGCGCGTGCATCCCACATCGCGCTCCTGTGCCCCTTGGCATTGCCCAGTCTGCGTCAGCCAAACCTCTTTCCCCCAGCTCATGATCGGGACAGTCTGAAGACAACATGCAGCAGGCGGTAAAGCCCCGAGGTTGAGCGAAAGGGCGAACCTGAGAAAAGGCCTCTCTGCGCGTCGTGGGTAAATCATGGTCTGAGGTACCCAGGATTTCGGCCCCACAGGGCTCCCCAGCCAGCGGCCCCGCGGCAAAAAATCAAAAGGCTTCTTCGACCTAGAGCAACTGCCAACCCTTTCTGACGCTTGCTGCGACGACACATTCGCGCGATCCGGGCCTTCAGCTTCGAGCACCTGCCAGCAATCCTCGCCGACTTCCCAGCAGCGAAATCAACGCTTAAGTTGACGGCGAACTCCTCTACACTGCCAGCTAAGGAAATAAGCTGGGCAGACACCTCAGTCGCCACGGCTTTGCTGGAGGCCACCATGCAGACCTTATCAACAGCAACGCTGCGCCCAAGCATCTCGGTGATCGCATGGTGCAGCGCTTGCGTCCCAGCTACTATGCTTTCAGTGAAGAGCTGCTTGGGCCAAGTGCAGGACAGCCCAGAGTCGTCCATATAAATGTCCAGGTCCATGCGGGGCGAAAGCAAAATGGCGCCAAACGCGTCGGCAGCAAAAACGCTGATAAGGGCGGTGGCCATGCTGCGGCCTGCCACCGCCCCTCTCTCAACAACGCGCGGTCCCGCACGGATGCCGCCCAAGGACAAGAACCGGCCACGACGAAAGGCGAATATGCAAAGGCGAACAATGGGCACAATAATCCCATGCTGGCGACACTTTCCGCCGATGATGCTAAGATCGATCGTTTCATAGCACTGAAACCTATTTTTCTTAAGAAACAAAACAGATGCATCTGACATCTTTCTAGGCCGTTCCGTGCTCGGCCTCGGCAATTTGCCTCCGCGCAAGATCCGCGGCTCCCCTTGTGCGCTCCAGCAGCCCAGTATCGACGAGGGTGCTCGTGCCCCCAGAGCAGAGCGAGGGGGCGACGGCACATTCCCCAGACGCTGCACCAAGCGCAGGACACTGCCATCGACCCGTAGCCACCAGACGGCTTGGAAACCAACGCTAAGAGGACGGCCGAGATCTGCTCGGGCAGCTGGCCGAACGCTTCCATAACTTCGAAAACCATAGCTGTGGTGTCCAATGAAGGATCACATAAGCACTGGGAATGGCGACAGGTGAAGCCATCAAAGCTGACCGCCGAACCCTTTTATGTATTTCTTGAGCACCTTCCTGATGGTTTCCGCTCACAAACGGGGCTAGGGGTCCACCCACGTCGGCCCCGAAGAACACAGCCCTACTGCCTTCGCCCCAAAAGGCAACGACTCCGAACTCTTCCACTGCCAAATGTGACAGGGGGCCCGACGCGACAGAACCGTCGGCAGCTAAGGCGGTGGTGGGACGTCAGGGGGCAGGGTCTCTAGTGGCTACGCGCGCCCTCTTAGCCCCTCGCGAATCCCCTCGCGGAGCCAAGTCTGCCAACTTTTGTGGGGCTCCTTGCTCGCCGCTTTTTGGGCGAGTTCGATGGCTGCACCCAGCGCGTCGCGCAGCGTTTGCCAAACAAAGCGGCGCGAGCAAAGCCAGCAGCGTCTTCAAGAGGCTTGCGATGTCCGTCCGACGCCATAACAGTTGCTGTTGGCGCACAAGGCCGATAAGCCAATGTATGAGCCTGATCTCCCTGGCTGAGGTTCGCAGCGCGAAGAGCGGCTGAGGCGCGGACTTGGGCGCTAAGCCGACAAGCTGCATGCAGATCAGGATCATGAATCGGGAAGTCCCTGACAAAGAGCGTCTTCCACGCCAGGTGGAGCCCCTTCGGAGCGCGCGCATGAGACAAGGGGGTCGGCTCCGAGTAGCGGAACGAGCTCCATCTCAGCCTTGCCAGCCCAAGCCGCATAGCAGGGACGGAGGAGAGCAGCTGCTCCCACCGCGTCGCCCCCCCTGACACACTGCGTGGCCTGCCCAGCCAAAGCACGAGGGCAGGACAAATCAGGGGGCTCGGGGGCAGGACCAAAAATCGGGGACGCGGGCGTGGGGGGGGGGTCCGAAAACTCAAACCCTGGAGCCGTGCGAGAGAAGGATGCAAGACCACCTGGACAGGCCCGTGGGGGCTCAACAAAGTATCGCGCAACACTTCGCACGACGTAACGGCTTTCCCCACCCCCCCCGAGAAAACAAAATGGCCCAACGCACTGGGGGGCCCTTCTCCAGAGTGGGCGCGCCCATCGGAATTGACGCGCACGCCGAGGAGATTCTCGACCAACGCACGCTGTCCGAGAACCTGAGGCGCCATGTTAAAGCCAGCACCAATACAGAAGGGAAGAGAGAAAAAAGGAACAACAGTCTCCAATCTTAGCCGACATATTCCTCTCCGGAATACCTTCCGACTGATGGGGATAAGCATCACAAGCAAGAAAACGCGTCCCTCGAGGGAGGTGACTGATACCTGAAACAGCACGTCCGGGGCTCATAAAAGGCTTATGAAATCCCGGAACAAGATGCACGCGCCCGAAGGTGGAGCCAGCCTCCGAGCCCAAAGCTCTGGACCAAAGTCACTTCCAACCCCTCCTATCAGCCCCAGCCGAGGCTTGGTCAACCTGTTAATTCGGTCCAGGCCTGCGCTCTTCGCACATGATGACATGGGCAAGAGTGTCGGCTAACAGCTTCTTCGTGGTCGCGCGAGTGCAGAACTCGAGCGAATCCAACTGAACCGCGGAGGGATCCGAGTGGGAAGTGGGCCGGACGTTGCTCGAGGCATGGTCCCTGGGGCCAGACATGTACTCGACGGGACAGCAAGGCTCCGAGCTGACACAGACAGGGCACACTTGACTCGGAGTCGCAAAACCGCCAAACATGGCCAGCACAGGCGGACTACTAACAGAAAGCTTCTGAACTCCAGCGACTTCCGAGGCAATCAATCCACGTGCCCTGCATATCGCGCGCCTAACCGCGCCGCGCAATGATGTTTTGCAACGCTTGAAGACAAGGCGGTGGCCGCCGCGGGGCGGGGCCCCGCGGGGCGGCCGAGATGCCCGATCTGAGGAATCTCTGG